TAACCTCGCTTGGTTTGTCGTGAAGCAAAGAATATTAATGTCATCAGTGGAAGAGAAATAGGCCTAAGTTATACCGATTTCAGCCGAGCAGAAAGGATAAGTTGAAAAATCACTCATTAAGGAATTTGATAGTTTAAGAGAAAAAGACTGCGTGGCCCCTTGAAGTCGATTCGGGAGGCCCTTGCTTTGACATTCACAGAGATTAACTGGGCTTCAAGCTTTGTATTCATGGGGAATATTACAATATTATGGTAAATAAAAATGTAAACCTAAGCGGTAATACAGTGAAACCAAAAAAAAGGAATGGGCTTTTTTTTAATCAGTCTTTGTATGTTTGTGAGGAGCCTGAGGGATCCATTCAAAGTAGGTCAGCTCCTGTTTGCAGCTCCATATAGCGAGTAATAGAAATCACATTTCTCTCTGCCAGTGCAGCAGCAGCAGGGTGTACACCTCAGAAAACACTCAACACCAGACCGGGATTTCTGCTCTTGTCCGGTTGCTCTTTGTGCATGAGTTTATGTCCGTCTCTCTGCTCGGTGCCTACTGTAGCTCTAAAAGCTGCAATGATCGATTTTTTTTTCTTTTCTACACTGAGCTTGGTTCAGTAATCAGGGCCCCCTTCCTCACCGATCGATCGATATTGATTACTAAATCCAGCGCCTGTAGCAAAGGCAGCGCACTATGGCGCCCCGTGCAGCCGGGCCACGGCGAGAGCGACACCTGCCGACCGAACGGGCACAAAGCATGCAGTCGATGAGGCGGCAGGACGTGACTCGCCGATGGAGAGAGAAGGGCTTCTTGCACGCTCACACAAGACAGCACTTAAGGAGTCAGATTTGTTTTTACTTTAATGTTCATCTTTGGGCATTTAAAGAGAATAAAGTCTTAAAAATTGTAATTAAAAATACTGACCAGTTGGTAGTTTCCCCAAGCATTTACCCCACAAATGTCTTGGAACCTTAAAAACAATCAATTCATAGATTTTGGAAGAATCCCCTTTCTGTAAGTGAACAGTAAAATGTTTTCTACTTACACGACAGAAGATAAAATCAGTAAGACAAAATGTTGTTACTTATAAAGCTCCTTTCATTCATATATATTACAAGAGGGGGAAAAAAGTGCATTTGTGCAAAATCAAACACTTTTTGCAAGGTATATGGCCATTGTGTGTGTGTGTGTGTGTGTGTGATTACATGCATACCTGTGCAAGGTCACACTCATCTGGGCAAATCACAGACGACAAAGGTCGCACACTGGAGGGAAGTTAAGGTATTCAGGCCAACCGGAAGCTGCATAAAATAAATGAAAACTCAGTGTGGACTTCAATACTGAGATAGTAATAAATCCATATCGATAATAATATTAACTGTGTTGTTCCAGCAAAAAAAACAGAGGAAGTTATTCTAAAAGCGGTAACATTTTATTTGGATATTCCTCTTTGTAGAGTATTTGTAGTGTTTTGCTTTGTCTGTAGATGTTTAACAGATTATCTATAGATATAATAATAGAGTGTGTGTGACAATTCATGAGCACACACTAACCAAGATGACCAGACCTGTATTTGTCAAACAGCTGATTTGTTGAATCTAGACTAATAAGCAGTTACAAATAATCTATAGACTCTCTGAAGACTATTCAAATAAAGTATCAACATTAGTTATTGTGCAATAATACACATTTTAATTAAGTTATATTATATAACTATTACTATTACATATTAGTTAAAACAAGTCAAAAGTGTCAAAAAAGTCATGTAAAATGTATCTGTAGAGAACAAAAAACAGCTTAAAATGTGTTAAATATGCAGTATTTTCATCTTTTACAATAATCACATTACTCTGCGACTGCCTGGTGTTGTGATGTTCCCAGAGATGTTCAGAGAGGCTTAGGTCTGGTAACTGTGGAGGTAAAGCACTGCACGTCAGCACTACACGCTGCTGCTCCTCCTCAGTTTTCAAACAGGCCGTCATTGCATGTTTAGGCTTATCGTCCTGCTGGGAAACGAATCCTCTTCCACACAAGTTAAAGCCAGAGGGGGAAAGCATGTCTTTGCTGACTAGACGTGGCAGATTCTTTTCGATCAGTGGGGAGCTGATGCAGTGACAGTCTCCAAATAGTAGAGCCTCCTCACATGTGGACACATTTCTAAAATCACATTTGTGGTCATTTGTTAACAAGAATTTTCTGAAATTTCGGTTTTATTTGTTAAATAAGAAATGTTACACTTGCTTTGTTGTTGAAGAAATAGTCAAGAAAATCAAGCCTGCACATTCCCAACGTCTTATTAAGTGTTATTGCTCAGCTGGTTTGGTTTCTTGGATGCAGATGTTTTGTTTTTGTCAGTCTTAATATATTGGTTGCCAGATGCAGTGTGTATTAGCTCTGCTTTGGAATAACGCATTATAAATGTTAAATCAAAGTGCAGTTTGGTGCTGGGATAGATTTTTACCACTGAGAACAATTTGACCTCCAATGGTTTAATTGAATCTCTTCTGATGACTGGAAAACATGATTAAACTTTTATCAATGATAAAACACAACAATGTATCAGCGGCTGCATTATATGAAATATAATTTAGTCAGTGTCTGTTTATTTTATATGATCAAAACAATTTACGCTACATATTTGAGGGAGAGTATATGTTAGCTGAATCTTTGGTCTTAAATATTGGAGAAAATCTCAGCAAATGATCTGTGGAAAAAGTCTGATATCTACTTTTCATACACGCTTTTCTCAAAAAGTTGGACGTCTATCAGTCGATTGACGTATACTTGAATAAAAAGTATGAACTGCATTTTTTAAAACTAATTATAAACATTTCTTGGTAGTGGAATGTGTTTACAAGGATGTTGTTCTCGTATTGATGAATCTATTTTCTAATAAATCCACCATATGAGTCGGACTGCCAACGTTTGTCCCTGGAAACACTGGAGAGCATCTTGCTTGGTATGTGACTGGTTGGTGTCACTACATGCTTTGTGTTTGTTATGTTACTATATTTACAGCAACTTCGTTAGAAAAAAAAAAGGAAAAACAACTACAAAAGACACGAGAAATGAGGTCTCATCAGTATCAGTGATTCCCTCACTAAAGCTTTAATGGTTTGTCCTGCTTGTCCTGCAGCATCCAACCTTACAGTGACAATGTGAAAGATTTCAGCTCTCCAAATGATGAAGTGACATCCTCCTCTTCCTCATCGTCATGACCACGCATAATCCTCTAATAAATCATTACATATGATGATATACATACTGTACATACAAGCATGCATTTAGACAAATTTGTATGTGGCATATTAGCATGTGTGCGTTTGTGTGACAAATATATAGCTGCAGTGTTGATGTGAAATATGAATATGATGGATGGGCCCGTGTGCAGGTTAGACATCTGTAGTAAACAGATTGGACTGCAATGGCTGATCAATGGGCTCTGTTCCACTGTAATTAGACACACAGCGCCACTGCTTGGCTCCAGCCACTTCAGCATAATCACACACACACCCCCCTCCCCAAACACACTCATGCGCACACACAAGTAGAACATGAAAAAAAAATCAGTCCTTAAATGCATCAAGACACACACACACACACACACACACACACACAGTGTGAGAGTGAGACATTATTGAAGCCGAGTATGAAAGTATCAGACAATACTAACGGCAGCAGGTGGAGACCCCACAGGGATGGCATCTTTCTCTTTCTTTCTCTCTCCAATTTGCTCTCGTTTTATTGAGACAGTAGGGAAGTTGAGAGGGACACACAGTCCGTTCTGGCAGGACTTCGATCCTCAGCCAGCAGGGGAACATGTGGCTGCAGAGGTGGTGCCTTAACCATCCACACACACACACACAAACACACACTCCTACATCATCTCTGGGCGCCGTTTCTGCCTTTTTACGCTGCAACCTGTCTGCTGCTTTCCACCGGTCTCCTACAAATACTTTGAGTTACAACACACTTACCCACAATACAACGCTCTATTAACTATTAATTTCTGTGTTCGCTGCCTACAACCCCACCACCCCCCTCGGACCCCCTCCCAAACGTAAAAAGAGTACACTCGGTGTGTTTTCTTTTGAAAATTGCTCTGTGTATGGGAAGGGGCTCGTAGCAGCCGGTGCATGCACCTCTCGAGTGTTTGTGTTTGGGGAGGGGGGGCAGTGGGTTATAAATACCCTCTCAGAGCTCAATAGAGTGGGCTCCAGTGGGCTCTGTTTGAAGTAGCAGACTGTAGACCTGCTGGGGGGGGATTCTGACCTCAGTCCCTACAGAGAACCCCCCAATTCCTACAGCAAAGTCGGTCAATATCTCTCTTTCTCCTTCACTCGCCGCCCCTCCCTCCTCTTCTCAGCTCCTCTCTTTGGCTCTTACACACATGCACACACACACACACACACACATAAATGCACACACTTTTGTCTTACTCCTCCACCTTTTCTGTTCTTTTCTCTCCAACCTTTTCTTTCCCTGGCTCTGCCCCTCCTCTATCTCTCATTTCCACACACACACACACACACACACATACACACAAAATGCTTACTTTTGTGCAACAGTCACTCAGTCCCCCATTGCGACTCAAACTGCATTAATATTGAATCAAACAGCAGTGTCTCCAGCTAGCAGGCAACAGCCAGTACCACCCCCCTCCTCCTCCTCACCCCATCTTTCTCTCACCGCAGGCTGGCTCCCTGTCTGCACTCTGCAGGATGGAAGGAATATTCCCACTGGGCAGGAGGCATGGATTAGCTTTAAATCAACTTTAATATGGCAATAGAGATGGAGCTGTAGAATCTCTGCTGGTGTATAAACTAGTTTTTATGTGTTTAAGTATTGGCTAATGATACATTTAGTTACTTTACTTCCCTCCACCTTCTGTCTTTGTTATTTAATCATGAAAATACGTCACTTTTGTATATTTACCTTGCTTTGTGTTTTCTTTCCCCTCTTTGCCTCCTACTCTCATCCCCATCCCTCCCACCGCTGCCATCCACACCAAGCCTGCAAGCGCAAAGAACAGGAGCAACACAAGGACCGCAACACGGCGCCCAAGAAACAACGTCTGGTCTTCACTGACCTGCAGCGCCGCACACTCATCGCCATCTTCAAGGAGAACAAGCGTCCATCCAAGGAAATGCAGATCACCATCTCCCAGCAGCTTGGCCTGGAGCTCAGCACTGTCAGCAACTTCTTTATGAACGCACGCCGCCGCTGCGTAGACCGCTGGCACGACGACCATGGTGCCAGCCCCGGGCAGCCGGGCACATCCGCCACCACTTTCTCCAAGGCCTGAGAGGAGGAGAGGACCTTCAGAAGGCCGGGGAACCAGGTTGGAACAACAGGCAACATGGAAAATTGGCTGTGAAACCTGTCTATAACAACCCTACCTGGCCTGGGCCGTCTGAATGTGTCCTCTGCCTGAAAAAATCCTTTGTGCCATGCAATCATCTTTTTTGTCAGTCAGAATTTCAAGCGCTCACCTGAAACAAGCATAATCTAAAGGTGAATTGTGAAGTCAGGTCCACTCTGCATTACTCACATAAGGACAATCATTGATTCTGTCTTTTTTGAAAGAAAATCATTTTTATGGCATCTGACAAAGTAAAGAGACACCAAAGATTTGATGTTTTTGTTGGACGGTACCAGACATATATGCCGACTTCCTTCACCACCCAAGTAGCCACTGATTCTGCTTTTTCTCCCAACTCACCTCCTTTGTGTCTGCCTCTCTAGTATCTCTCGCATCCCCTCTACGCCGGCACACGGAAGCAACAAGGGCGAAAAGAACGGCAATAAATCTGACAACAGAACAGCACATAGCCTTATTATCCAAGCCCCATCCTGCACACACAAGGCCGTCATAAAGAAAACAACGCAGTCTATGAAAAAAACAAGGCTTTCCAATTCTCCGCCTCTACCTCCCCCTCCTCCTGTAGTCTCCTTCATTCCTTGGCCAAAGGTATTCCCTGATGGCCAGCCATTTCAGAGAGCAGCTCAGCCTGATCATACGGCAAACTAATGAATTGAAAAATGAATCGATGCAGACAGAGAGAGCGGGGCCTTGACCCCTCCTGAAGGTGAAACTCAAGACGCTCGGCAGTAGATACTCAGGTCTTCCAGGCCCAGGTCTATATTTTTTGCACAGATGTTGGAGGCCTGTAGGGAGACATGTCATTGTTACTCTTTGCCTGAGCCTAGAGTCTGGGTTTCTCTGACCAACAGGAGAGGCGAGTGAGATGTCTGGACATGCTCTTTGTTCTGCTGGGAGCTTTTCCTCTGATCAATAACTGAGAACCAAGCGACAACAACACGCTCGGGCATCCAGCCAACTACATTACAGCTGCATATGAAAAGCAGAATGTAAGAGGAGCACATGGAACCCACTGGAGATGGGGACACAAAGGCCTCATAACAGCAACAGCAGCAGCAGCAGCAGCAGCACACCTCTCCCTCCCTGGTCCTGCCTGTGCTGGCAGAGCAACAGTGCCCCCTGCTGTCGATAGCAGAGACCTGTATCCAGCGGAGCAATGGGGCTCAGAGTGGAGGAGAGGGAGGGAAGAGCCACTAGATGCTGAGGAGAAGTCATGGCACAACACATTCAGGCCCTCACAGCTCTTTGAAGGCAGATCAATAGCTAACCATTATCCTATTGTTGTTCCTCATCCAACCAGCGCTGGTGAAGCCGGAGGAGGGGGATGGTTAAACTGAACGCTGAATACGCAGGGATTTAGAGAAGGCAGGGATATTTAACCAATCCAAATCTTAAAGAATCCACAAAATACAAGTACAGAAATTACACACAGAGGGGACAGAAAAGTACAACAGAGTAAAAAGTAACAGAAAGGCTTATTGAGACATACACATCTGAGGTGCAGTGGAGGTTTAATTTTCATTATTTTGGGAGGCTTTATATTTTGTCAAATCATTCTTCCATTCCATCTGTTTGCAAAAAAACAAAAAGGCTCTCAACAGATGTGATTCAAACCAAATCTCCTGGTTATTCCCACACAAGGGTTATCAGTAGCTAACCCAAAGCTAACCACCACACTCAGCTGTCAAAATGCTACAGTAATTAGTGCCAATGCTTACTGCCTTAATGCGAATCAAAGAATATGGTACTAGGGTTCACACACAGCTACAGTGCGCCCCACTGATGATGGGCGGTGTGTGCCATAGCAACCAACAATCAGCTTTTAACTGAATTAAAATATACTTTTTTAGTAAAAAAATGAAAAAAAGAATCAGATTTTAAGGCATACAATAACCAAACCTCAAACGACAAAGATACCACACTTACAGAATGTGTTACAAATACAAAAAGAAATGTCTCCAACACATAACTGGACACATTTTGAAGCAGAAGAAAAATCTCTCATTCTATCTTTGGTTCTCTACCTCCTCTATCCCTCTAACCCCCATTGCCCCCCCCTCTCTTTCTCTCTTCCTCTCTATATTGATGCGGGTATTTAATTAGTACCATAGACACAAAGTTTCTATTTCTTGTTACTATTGTGCTCTGTTGTGCATAAGTAAGGCACCTTGTTGATAAATCAAAAACAAAAAAGGAAGGACTTTTTAAAAGGAAAAAAAAGAGGGATGCAAGGACCGAGGCCAATGAAGGATGCATTTTTTTTGCATTCTGTGTGAATATAGACTCGGACGAGACATTTACCATCAAAGAGAAAAAAAAAGAAAAACAGGGAGCTGCTGAAGAGAAGAATAAATGACGGATGCTCTCTCTCTTTTGGCATTTCATGTCAGAACTGTGATACTCTCAGCCCCCTTTAAGCTGAGCCCCAAGAACGGGGTAAAATGGAGGGGGACAAAACATGACCTCCAAATGTCCTGGCTGATTCAGTGTGTTTTATTGGAGGGTGGGTGGGGGTGAAGCTTGGGACTCAATAGTTATATGTATGGTCTTAAGATGCAACTGTAGCATTTCCAACAATGTAGTCAGATTAGCGGTGCAGATTAGATAAGAGATGGTCATTGTCGAGGAGTTGATTGAGAGGTACTGACTAACTTCACGTTGCTGTAAGCAGTGAGTTAATGTCGCCAAAGGATGATGAGCTAAAATCGATTTGTGGTATACAGTTCAGTGAGCATAGGTAAATAGCTAGATTCAGCTCTAGGTATTAGGCTGACAAAATGACATTTGTTTGTAGTGAGAACCAATGTGGCTACCTCACTAAGCTGAGTGGTTTGTGAAACCGCCACTAATACCAAAGATACTGCAGCCTACCGGTCCCAAACTGCCTAGGGGGACACACAAACCAAAAAAAAGCCCCCCCCCCCCTCTTTGCCCAGAACCGTTACAGACAACACACTGACAATATTACACACACACGTTTGTACTAACAGCGCAGTCGGACTGCATCGCGCCACATAGGAGGAGGTGGCTGCCTTGCAGACAGAGTTGAGTGCCTTTTCCCTTCAACCACGGGTGGGACTGCACTGGACACACACATACGTATACACACACACACATACACACACAGCCTTGCGGGTGCATGCATATAGCTACACACCCATTTACAAACATGCACTCACATTCAGACAACACACCCATAATTGGATGGACAGAAAGGGGGGCCAAAGAGAGGGACACAGAGTGGGGGCTGTGTCAGCATTTTCTCTCATATTGACTTTCCATCTTGATACACTAGAATACAAGCACTTTATCATGTAGAAAGTCTATAAAACATTTTCTATACACTATTTATTTGAAACAAAATTATATGTTACTCCTTAATCTGTCAGTCTTTGTTACTGTATCGTTGATCTTCTAGTAGCTCACAGCCTTTGTGTTTATTTTTCTCTCTCCGCCCGGTGTGCTTAGACTCTCAGCCACTTTACCTCTCTCACATCAGAGATATTTTTGTGTAACAGAGAAAGAGGGGGGTAGAAAGGCCGAGGCTCTGAGCGCCCGAAGGGCTGTAGTTGTAAAATCTTACCACTAAATGTCTCTCTCTCTCTCTCTCCACTGCGTGCAAGCACAGAGGCTGCACTAGAGAAGTGTGGAAGACTCACTGACAGTTTATAGACACAAATTCTCTCCTCCCTCCACCTTGTCTGTCCAGTCGACCTCTCCCCCTGGCTAGTGCTAAGACTCGGTAGGCATGTGTTGACAATTAATTCTGAAATACCTCAAAAACCTTTCATGTAAACTTTATGTAATTTAGACTGAAAATAATACTGCTAATGATAACAATGATTATGAAACTATGATACTATGATAGTTAGTTTTGGAACTTGTGACTTGAAGCTTTATACTGTTAAATTCCTTTTATTTGTTTGCTCATTTTTCTCGTACGTTCTCGTTTGTTTTTGCTACGGCATGTACTTACTGTTTTCATAAAGGAAAAGACATTGTGAATGTTTCTGTGGAGGGTTACATGAGAAAAGAAGAGACAGAAGAGAAGGCTAGACTAGAGAGAGAGGGGCCAGAGCTACTCACTTCAGATGTTTAGTTCAAAGCTCTCTCCAAGGCTGGTACATTTAAAGGAAAAAAACAACAAAAAAACACAAAACAAAGAAAGAAATTACAAAAATATGATTTGGGCTGAATTCTAAACCAAAAATTTGATGTTAAACCAAAGGAGGAATAACCTTTTACTCATTGTTAGCTTTCTTCTGCCTTTAAGTTGTCTTTTCTCTGAAAAAAAAAAAACTATTTCACAGTTACTTTTGAAGGTTCCTGGGTGTGTTCAAGTGCTCCTGATGTTCTTAGAATATTAAAAACCAGCACCTCCTATTGAAAAGAAGGTGCGCTTTTTTCTTTTGTGCATGGATATTGTATAACTGTATAGAAACCAACAGGAATGACCTGTGATTTTGTGGGGAGAGGAGGAGGATGGAAAGACTTGGGAGTGGGTGGAGATGGGGTGGGGGATATTTTGGTTATCAAAACAAAAAAAAAGGGTGGGAGGATTTGGGTTTTAGGCATTGGAGGGGTCCTTGTTTTTAGAATTTCCGTCACTGTTGGATTCACTGGTTGTGTGCATGTGTTGTTGCAACCCTTCCCCTTTCCCCATGTTTCTTTGATGTATATAAATCCAGACAGTAGGGGGCAGTGTGTGCTGGGGGAGGTCAAACTCCTCTCCTCCCAATCAATAGCATTCAATCTTCATTCCTCAGCTTGTGGTCCTCACTCGGGTCCTGAAATGTGTGTCTTGCTTTTCCAAAGACGGGCTGTTTACTTGGAGTTAATCAGAGGGACACACACAGGCCCGAGCGGCCTTGAATATACCTGTATGTTTGTCTACATGCTTTTCTTCAATCTGTGTATGTGTGCTCATTTGTACCTATGTGGAAGACAAAGTGTTTCTTTTTTATGTTCCTTTACTATGGGTTGCAATATTTGTCATGCGAAAATTTGAAACCATTTCTTACTGACTGACCGACCAACCAACCGCAGTACCATTTGGCAACTGATAATCCGACCCGAAATGTCGTCAGCATTTACTGTCAAACAGCATATGTGTGTGTGTCATTTCACTGTGGGATCGAAGGTTGCCAATGGGACTGGTGTAGACACCCCCAGTCACACTGTGCTCTCCCTCTTCTGTTACCTGTTAATCAATCAGAACCAAGTGTCTTTGTGATGGTAGAAGACAATCAGTTTCAAAACAAGAAAAAAGGTAGAGAGAGGGCAGGCCAGTGGGGAGGAAGAAGGGGAGGATGGTAGAACAAAATCAAGGGAAAAGAGGCTCTCTGAGTTGTGACGAGCTGTAGTGCCCGACTGCCAAACGACTGCCCCACCGTCCCTGCACTCTCCAAAACATCCATCTTCCATCCCATTCATGGCCAAATCTGACGTTCAGGCTCATCATGACTCAGCTACACGACACTCCAAACCAAAACTCATTACACATTTTAAATTCACTCCCTCCTCACCCCCCCCCCCCCCCCCC